AATAATGCCTTTTGCCCCTGACCTGGGGAGCCAAAGCGGGCTAACTTACTAGCCTGTAAACAGGTAAACTCCCCTCATGGTTCTCAGCAGTGAGTTCGGTGCTGAGGACCAAGCACATGGGGACAATAGGCAGAGTGGGGGAATCCTGAAGAAGAGAGACCATGGAGAGTTGGGTGGAGGATGCCAGTCTGCTTGTGTGTAGACATAACATGCTGGCTAAAATAGGGAGAAGGGATTGGAATATGAGGAGGATGAGGGAGGCCAGATGACCAGTGAGGAATCCATGAGATTCCTGGAGAATGATTGCATCTAGAGAAGATGCTTTGGAGGAATGCACAAGGGGTCAGAGGAAATGACATCCGTTTTAGACAATTCAGGTGGTGATACCCCAGGGGAAAGCCTCCTGTCCCTCACGAAGGGAGTCAGAGCTAGAGGGTACTTTAGGGGACAGGAAATGGACAGTAGTTTAGACCTGGTGTGAATTCCTAACAGTCAAGACGACTCTTTGGTCTCATACACCGGCAGCCTAGGGAGGCTTGCAGAGGCCTGGAAGGTAGAAATTGTTAGTGAGCTGGCTCAGATGGGAAGTCCCTCAAAGAGGCATCATGTTCTTCATGCTTTCTGTAATGGGCATTCACTTTCTGCCAAGAGAAGATTCTCTATCGTTTATCTAGAACATCTGTGTTCTAGCTGCCAACCAAGCCCATAAAGGGGAACAAAGAAGCCATCTCCTGCAGAGGTCAAAGCAAGTCACCATCACTAATGTTGATTTTGAACCCTTTCTATCTTCTCCCCATAGCACTGCCTCGCCAGAATCCAGGACCAAATAAGCTAGCCCAGCTCCTCTTTTCTGTCTTCTATATAAGTTAGAAATTTGGATTTTTAGTTTCAATTTTTTTTCTCTCATTGCACAACCTCTGGACTCATAGACTTCAGCTTAACTTGTTTATGGAAGAAGGAATTTGCTTACACCACGGTCTTGTTTTGGGGTTCAGTGAGAGCCGTACATTGCTATGCAAACAGGGCATTTGGGGGTTGTGTTTGCTCACACAGCAGAAGTTCTGATCACTATCGAAGGCCTGTTCTTTTATGCTCTACTAAAATCACAAGGCTTTAGAATTAGTGAGTCTGCCTGCCCCTTGTCTTTCCAAATTGCGCGCTGTATGGGAACAAAGCCACTGTCTGAGAAATAAGGCTCTTTCTAGTCTATAAAGGGGACTTTGCCCGCGGCATGCACCATATTGTAAAGTAGGCAAGGCATGTCTTTTGAAACCCAGCTTCCTGTGATTGTTCCCAACACCCCACCTGACTTCTCTTCCCGTATCTATGTGCTCAGTTACTGACTGCTTTCTTCACATCCCCAGTAGCAACCAATGATCAGGAAAGGCTTTTGTCCAAATGAAACTCCCAGGATGATATGAGATACCACCCTGATACATTGATGCTTAGGTACCACCCTGATACATTGATGCTTAGGTACCACCCTGATGCATTGGTGCTTAGGTACCACCCTGATACACTGGTGCTTAGGTACCACCCTGATACATTGATGCTTTGGTACCACCCTGATGCATTGGTGCTTAGGTACCACCCTGATACATTGGTGCTTAGGTACCACCCTGATATATTGATGTTTAGCTGAAAGCATCTGGAAATCTTCAAAATAAGACATCTCCAGAATCCAAGAGATAGGAAAGGGCTAGGACTCATGGAATGCCACTTTCTCAATGACTGCGTGACACTGTATTACTGCCGGTGCTATGAGTTTATTTGCTCTATTATGTGTATGACTGTTTTGCAAGCATGTATGTATGAACACCACATGTGGTGACCATGAAGTTACAGACAGCTCTGAATTGTCATGTGGGTGCAGGGATTCAAGCCCAGGTCCTCTGCACGGTCAGCCAATGGTCTTCACCGAGTCATCACTCTGGTCCTGCTATGGGTTTCTAAAAGCTAACTATTTGTTACTCAGACTTGTCTCCACATGCCCCTGATTTGACTGTTCTCTCTTGCTTTGGGCTTCAGTAGGTTTTGGACTCTGTTTAGTCAATCATTAAACACAAGTTGGTCAAGTACAAATTGGCCCGTACTGTGCAGAGTCCACACAAGGCATTGTATGAGATCAAATTAGACAAGAGGTACATGTGCTACCTACCATTTAGAATGTTTGTCTAAAAGGGAATGTTGATCTCCTGCAAAAGAGCTTTCAAATGCATTGTAAACACCCTAAACTAATTTAGTTACATGGAATGGTGGAAAAAGTAAAGAGTACGCCATTCCAGAATATGCTTATTTGGCGAGTTGCTTATTTTAAGGCACAATCAGCTGAACATTTCCTAACTTCAAGAGGGTCACTGGGACTGTCTTACCTACAAAAGGCCGTATGAATTCTCCTGGAGAATCGCCTTGATATCAAAGACTGGTCACTGGGGCTGCACTAAATCTGTATAAAGCTCTGAAGTAGCCCTTATTTCCCTCCAGCATCTGCAGCCCCATCTTTGACTTTGTAGCTGTTAATATCTCTCAAATTTACTACCCTGGCCCAAATATCCTTTGTCCTTGCATCCTTTCACTGAGTTTTTGTTTTGTTTTGTTTTGTTTTTTTTGAGACAGGGTTTCTCTGTGGTTTTGGAGCCTGTCCTGAAACTAGCTCTGTAGACCAGGCTGGTCTCGAACTCACAGAGATCCGCCTGCCTCTGCCTCCCGAGTGCTGGGATTAAAGGCGTGCGCCACCACCGCCTGGCTCACTGAGTTATTAATATCTAAAACTTCCATGCTTTGACCATTTCTTTGGTTTTTATTCTTCTGCAAATATCCCCATGTGTTGTTGGAGGCCACGTTTTCATTCCCAGCAGCTTGGACCCAAGACAATTACACAGAAGCTGTATTATTTAAATCACTGCTTGGCCAACCACTTAAGCATATTGCTAGCTAGTTCTTATATCTTTGTTTAACTCATTTCTATTATTTTATATTTTACCACGAGGTTCGTGACTACCAGCAAGGTTCCACCTCACAGCTCCATGGCATTTCTTTGACTTTGCCTTCTTTCTCCCAGCATTCAGTCTAGTTTTTCTGCCTAGCTCGCTTCTGCCCTGCTATGTATGCCCCTGGCCAAAACAGATTTATTCATTAACCAATAAAAGCAACATTTAGAGAGAAGGACTTTTCCCATCCCACCCATGTCTATATAAAACTAATAAAACTGTAATATTTTTCTCATGTTAATTGTCTATGTATTAATTGTGTCCCTAGATCCAACCAGAGTGTCCAGGTAAGGACTAAGAGGGAAGATAGAAGAATCTCTTCTCTACATTGTGCAGTGAGGTTTTGCATTTATCTAACTTTTTTTTTTTTTTTTTTTTTTTTTTTTTTTTGAAGGTT